GTAGCCCTCCTCTGGACTCTTTCCAGTAGCTCCTCATCTTTCTTGAACTGGGGAGCCCAGCACTGGACAGAGTACTCTAGATGAGGCCTCACTAGGGTAGGGTAGAGAGGAAGGAGAACACTGATGTTTTCAGTTGTCGCTATGGAATCAAGGACTCCTTCCAGCCTCCCAAGTTCAGCTGATGAGCAGGGGTGCAGGAGCTGGGGGGTAGCACAGCCAGGCAGAGAGCCAAGCTGGCCGACGGAAATGCCCACTGTGAAGGGACCCTGGTCCTAGCAGTTAAAGTCTCGGGTGGTGTGTGTGCAACTCCTTGAACAGTGTGTGAATGCTCGGGCAGCAGCTTCTCCCTTAACATCTGGGAAGCCGACAGGAGGACAGGCCTTTTTGGTGCCCAACGTGGGGCTCCAAGGGTTGAGATAACAGCAGAACTGACCACAGCGGTTTAAAGGATTTATATCTGTTAGCATTTGCCGGTCGCACAATCGCTATGCCATGCTCTTGTTTTTGCTGTACATGCCAAAGATTGGTGTTGGTTTTTGCAAGGTGCTTTGCTCTGCACTGCCTGGTAATATTTTGTCTGCAAGATTATTATTAGAGCACTGATCTTGGCGTTAATCTGGTATTTGCACTTTGTACTGAAGGTATTACCAAGGCTGGAGTACAAGCTCATGTTATGCTTTTTCTTCTGAGAGGTTTTTTTATGCAGGAAGTGCAGAATGGCACCTTCGCTACCATCTTCCGTGATGTTTCACAGAATCACAGAATCACAGAATAGTAGGGGTTGGAAGGGACCTCTGTGGGTCATCTAGTCCAACCCCCCTGCCGCTGCCTACTAAACCATGTCCCGAAGTGCCACATCTACATGTTTTTTGAATAACTCCAAAGAAGGAGCCTCCACCCCCTCCCTGGACAGCCTGTTCCAGTGCTCCGTCCCCCTCAGAGGGAAGAAGTTCTTCCTCATGTTCAGACGGAACTTCCTGTGCCTCAGTTTGTGCCCATTGCCCCTTGTCCTGTCACTGGGGACCACTGAAAAGAGCTTGGCCCCATCCTCCTGACACCCACCCTTCAGATGTTTCCTCCCCCATTACAAGAACTTTTTGGTATTTTGAACATCCTTGGGTAGTTAAAATACCTCTATCGGCATTTCTTGGGAACAGGCGTTCAGTTTTGTCTAAGGTGAGCAAGCACGTTAAGAATATCATCCAGAGATCTGCCCTGAGGCTGGACAGTTATGGGTGCTGGGGTGTGTGGAGTAGCATGGGCAGATGCCTATGGGCTGAATGAAGACACGCCGCCGCTGAGTGCTGCTGTGCTGGAACCCACAGCATTCTATGATTCTTGTGAATAGTGTTTCAGTTTTGTCTAAGGTGAGGAAGCACATGAAGAATCCGGAGATCTGCCCCGAGGCTGGGTAGTTATGTGTGGTGGAGTATGTGGAGTAGCATGGGCAGATGCCTAGGGTGTTGGGCACGTCCAGCGTTCTGCAACTTCAGCCCTGAACAAGTGCAGAATCATGGTGCCCTGCGTGCTCCTGGAGATGGACCTGGGGCCACACAGGTCATGGGTATGGCCACTCACTCCCTCACTGCACAGCGCAGGCAGGGAGAGGGGCTCTGCCAGCTGCCAGGGTTGTAGAGACATGAAATCAGCCGGGAGGCAGGGCCAGCCTCTTTTCATTTCAGAAGTGCTTCAGGGAGGGTCAAGATTTCTCCAACTCACATGGGATCTGCGTAGCCCTTGGAGGCCACAGTCTCTAGTGAAAAAGTTGAAAAGATGAACCAAACCCCTACAAGAGAAATTTCAAAGTTGTGTCAGTAAATCGATTTTAAATGGGTAGATATTTCCCCAGCTGCCATAATGAAGGTCAGAATTACTCCCTGAGGAAGGGAAGGTGTAAGCCCTTGTCCTGGGTTCGGCTGGGATCGGGTTGATTTTCACAAGAAGCCAGGAGGGGACACAGCCTGGATGGCCGATCCAAAGCAGCCAAACAAATGGGGTATTTGATACCCTGTGATGCCATGCTGGGTTCGGAGTGGGGGAGCTGGCTGAGTGTGGGGGGGAGGTTAATCATTGCTAGGGAGCTTGCAGGGCATCGGGTGGGGAGACAGTTGCTCTGTGTGTTCCCTTGTTCTTACCAGTATTGTTGTTACTGTTCGCTTCCTTTGCTGTTCTGTCAAACTGTCCTCATCCCGACCCACGAATTTTGCCTTTTTCTTCCCATTCTCCCCCACTCCACCGGGGGGAGGGGCAATAGAGGGGCCATGGGGCTTTTTGTCGCCAGCTGGGACTAAACCGCGACAGTCCTTTTTGGTGCTCAACCTGGGGCACGAAGGGTTGGGATAGTGGCAGGGCTGACCAGAGTGTGTTAAAACAACGTTGTTGCAATTTGTTATAATTTGTTACAGGCATTTGTTGTGTGAGTTAAATAGTCGCCTGTCAAAATGTTGCTTTCTTTGGTCACACGGTTCTGGTATGTAAACCCTTACTTGCTGTGTGTGTTCCCTGTGGCGCTGTTCATCATCTGTGGGAAAAAGGTCAGGATTACCATTGTGTTGTACTGTGCAATATCGACTTATGATATGAGAGCATCACTGGGCATGAGGTTAGGCTTCTATTTGTGTGTGGAATTGCGGTCATTTCCACATCTTCGATGCCATCTCTCAGAACTTTATCAATAATCAAACCCACTCTCTGGGGAAGACCAGAGGGGATACCTTCCCCTCTTCTTTCACCCCTCCTTTCTCCATCAGGCTAGTCATAATGGCTTTTGAGAATTTTGAGTATCCTTGGGATGTTCGAGACAGCATGCTCCTGTTGCTCTGTCTGCTGAATGGGGCTCAGGTCTTGTTTAGGGTTAAACAACTATTTTAAAATATCACCGAGAGATCTGCCCCAAGGCTGGATAGCTGTGAGTGGCAGGGTGTGTGGGAT